CAAAGGATCTATAAAAATATTTATTGTTCTTAATCTCACAAACATATCTAAGAATAAGATTAATTGATGAAATAGTAAGTATGATGATCAACTGGTAATGGAAAATTGGGTCGCATATATTGCTTACAAAAATTCGTTGATTTGATTGATGAGTTCCAAAAAAATAATTTTATGGTTCGAATGCTTAGTAAAAACAAGAAAGATAATTAGATTGAGTTTTATGAATTTACTTCATTTAATTTATGGGCCAATAAAAGATTTTTATCTTCCAAATCCATTGGAAGGGAGCATAGGAGGCTAAATGGAGGGAATTGGGGGGGGGGGGGGGGGGGGGGGAAGTAACAACTTGTACACTCATAAAAGAGTATGGAATTCCTATGGTAAAGCTAAATAAGCATCATGTCATGTTGGCTAGCTATCCACTAATTTAATGACAAAAATGTCCTTCATGGAAGAGGAAGTGAATTTTCCCACTAGATTGATAGCATACCCACACCATAAAACCCATCAATGACACCCTTTTTATGTGCTTTCTACCTTTTATCTTGTTGCCAACTTATTGCTCAAAAAAAAGAAGTCCACCTCAGATTATAGTTCACAATGATTTTCTATGTTTTCGTTGACAACTATGTGGTGCGTAGTTAGGTTATGATTCGAATCGATTTTTTAAGAGTCTTTGTGATTTCTTGCCGTTTAAGGTCCACTAGTGAGTTCTCGGGCTACTATGGTCCCCTCGAACCTTTTTTTTTGGCCTTGTGTTTAAGTAGTATTTAGTCGAATTCATAGCATGTGTTAGTTATATTTGTGTTGACTAATTTATTAAATGGCTCTGTTGGATAAATTCATTTATGATATTAAAAATGACTAAAAATTTATCTAATATTACAATTTGTAATTTGAATTTTACATTTATAAAATGGTAACAACGGTTAAAATTGATCCAATCTTCATCCAATTTTATTTAACAGTACAAAATTCATCTGAAAAAAAAATTCAAAAATAATATCTTCTCTGCATAGTCCCCAATGTCACAAATGTATTAACACACTCCTCAATGCCAAAAAAACCTCACTAATCTACCGTTATTTCTCTCTTATTTTCTTTTTGTCCACTATAATTTTAAATTAAGCAATTAAAGAAAGAAAAAATATATAAATTGTTGTTTAAAATATAAATATTATAAGATTAATACTCAATTTTTAATATTACACAATATCTTTAGACACGAGATTATTACTAAGAATTCAAACTTAGTTGATTTCACATCCATTTCGTACTTGATTTACTGGGTCGTTAATACGATTTGCAGACTTATTGGTGGGTGTGATTTTATCTGGGTCAGCCCAATCCAACATGTTGCTTTTGTTTGAAGGCTGGGCCACCTGTATTCGCATAACATTGTAGCCCAATTATCCTTGGGCTTGAGCCCTTGCGCTTCTCATTAGGCTTTTTTATTTGTGAAAATTGGAAGTGAAACCCTTAAATGTATTTGTTTAGAAATAAGTATTACAAGAAAACTTATAATAGATTAAGTTCATGTTTAAAATTATATGTAATGACTTAAGTTCACTTTTTTTTTTATCTCAAAAATACTTTTCATTGAAAGGAGGTTAAATTAATTTCATATTTTTGATATAATTATCCCTTAATTTAATGTCGATTAAAATATGTCAATAAAATCTCTATCATAAATTCAAAATTCAAATTTAAAGCTCTCTCTCTCTCTCACCACCTAGTGACATTGTTTCATCAATGTTCATCTTTTAATTTTCTATGAATTATATTAAATTTGGGGGTAACGGATGAGAATCTTTGGTCCTTGTTAATTTTTTTGTTTATTTTTAATTTGTAGTATTTTTCGTGAGGGTTAATTTGTTAAATTGAATGTTTCATGTTATTATTTTTTTTATTATGTTACTGTTCATGTTATTATTATTTTGAGCATGTTACTACTATTATTTTCCTAAATATTAATATTCAATGTTACTATTTTTTTTTTGTTTTTAAATATTACTATTTTTTGTGTTTGAATGATATTATTTTTTGAGTTTGAATTTGAGAAAAATAATTATTATTAAGTATGTTACAGTTTTTGTTAAGCTTGTTACAATTTTTGTTAAACATGTTACTATTGTTATTTTTTAAAATATTAATATTGAATGTTTCAATTTTTTTTATTTTTAAATGTACTATTTTTTGTGTCCAAATGATAACTTTATTTTTGTATTTGAATGTTACTATTTTTTATTTTTAACGTTACTCTCTATATATATACCTAACCTATATATAGATATAAATAGATATGAGAGAGAGATAATTTTAATGTTAGTCAAACTCTTAACCTATATATGAATATAGATAGATATGAGAAAGAAAAAATTTAATGTTAGTCAAACTACTAAGATTTAGGAGTTTTAATTTTTAGTTTTATTTCACTTCTAAAGGAAAAGGATAGGATGGTAAAATTAACAAAAAATGGACTTCATAACAAATAAATTTTCTTGACGGACTTAAGTCCAAACAAGTCCAGATGGGGGGACCGGTCTTCAAATTTCCCTATTTATTTTCATTCTTTTGAAATCGGGCTCTCGATATGACTTATGTGAGAAAAAGTTCAATTAAAAAAATGGGTTTTTTGGGTATAGATATAATTTTTTGGACTTATTTTGAGTAAAAGTCTATGGATAAATTGTTTACTCTATTAAGTACAATTTTTATAAAATTTTTTGTATTTAGGTACAAAATTCAAATGAATTAAAAACTTTTTTACCTAAACACATTCCCTTAAATTATGCAATCATCATTGACAGTTATTTGAAGAAACAAATATGTAAAAATTAACAATAGTAATGAGAGATAAAATAGGGGCATTAATGTTCAAAACCCTTCTTCTTCGACAACAGGATTTTATGGCAATGAAATTTGATTAAAATGCCACAAATTATATGTAAATAAACACTAAATTTTTCTCTCAAAAAAAGAGAATTGACCAAAATATTTTGTTACATATTATGTATTTTTTGTTGTTGGGATGTAGGAAAAAAAGAACTTCTTTATTTTGTTTAATGGGTGTAACTATTTTTTAATAGGTGTAACTATTTTTTTAATTGGTGTAACTGTTTTTAATGAGTGTAACTATTTTTTCAATTGGTGTAACTATTTTTTAATAGGCGTAACTATTTTTTTAATATGTGTAATTATTTTTTTAATGGATGTAACTATTTTTTAATAGGTGTAACGATTTTTTTTAATGAGTATAACAATTACAGTCTCATGCAATTGTTAAAGTATGATGGTGTAACAATGTCACAATACTAAATGGTGCAACTATTTAGTTTTATGTAAATAAATGAATGACAAATTGAGTTGGTGTCAGAATTTTGTATAATTATTTTGTGTAACTGTGTGGTTTATTAAAACGCATGAGTAACTGTTTGATGTATTATAGGACATTTGTAACTGATTGGTGTAACTGATTAGTGTAATTGTGTTGTTGTAATATTAATATAAATAGAATAAGAGAAAATACACACACAGAGAGAAACGGTTAGAGAAAATATGTCCCTATTTTACCTCTCATTACTTGATTGTAGCTAAAATATAATAAAGAAATATAAAGAGTTTCAACCCATCACCTATTTACTGAATGACAATATTACCATTTTTTAAAATATATGCACTTTAGCTTAAATAAGTTTTTGTGTTATATTTTTGCTTAAATAAATCTAAAAAATTGTATTGGCTTGCAAATCACCCTAAAAAATATTTGGGATATAAATCCACTTTGAGGCAAAATAGTGGTAGTACCCTCAAGCACAATTATAGATCCTTCAAAACTGATTAAGAAAATTATAACATTACAGCCCTTGCCCCTGCCCCTGTCCCCGTCCACTGCCATCCCTATCTATCATATTGTGTAAAAGAGAAATTTGAAAAAGAATTTAGTTCGGATAAATGTCTGGAACACAAAACACTAAATAAAATACAATTGTACAAGGCAATAACAAACATTTTTTTTTTTTGAAAAAAATATGGAATAGAGAAGATAATGGAAATTACATATTTTATCATAAAATTCTGGAATTTTGAAAAGCTCTAAACGTTTTTTTGAAAAAAAAATTGAATTTTTGAATAAAACAAAATCTCGGAATAACTAGAATACAAACCACCAAAAAAATCCAGTTGTTACATAAGAAAAACTCCAAAAACTTGCGCTAAGAAGGCTATAATGGCGAAGAAGACAAACTATCAGTTCAAAAGGATAATGTCAAATGAGTTGAAATCAATTTTTTAAAATTTAGACGATTGAATATATATGACAATAACACTACAATTTTTTTTTTCCAAATATTTTCATATTTTAAACAAAATACCAATCAATTATGCATAAATTAAGATAGAAATAATTAAATAATATTTGACGAGCCTGACCTAGACCATATCCAGATTAGAGATGCAGATCAAGCCCATATTGCAGATACAGACTAATCTCAAATTACGGATATGGACTAGGGCTAGATTACAAATGTAGAACAACAAAAATCTAGTCATAATTAATTCGTGGCCAAGCCCATTTTCCTTAGACGCCTGGTTCACCATCAGCGGACGTGGGAGTCTCCATCAAAGGAGAAGAAATCATGGACACATAATCATTAAGGATGCATCGCCAATTCACAAGATTATCTCATCTATTACAAAATAATGTAAGCTTCAAGGGATCCATCTTTATCACGTCACCCTTTACAAGGATGAGGGGAGAGACTCATGACATTACCTTATTCCTTGTGAGAATAACGCCTTAATCAGAGTGTTTCGGAGTCAACCCCTCTTATCTATAAATTGTAAATCTCATACACTTGTTGTCATTTTAAGGCAGATATTAAGGAACGGAGGTGGGAGGGAGGATTTTACTTAGAGGACTTACTTGACTGTTCGGCCAATTTTCTGCAATTATTGCCATTACTACTCTGACTCTAGACGGCAGGTGCAATAACGACGATATGATCGAGATAACCACCATCGGAGTGGTGGGTGGCGGCCAAATGGGCTCCGGAATAGCCCAAGTCGCCGCCGTGCACGGCTTAGACGTTTGGCTTCACGACACCGACGCCGATGCTCTCACCAGAGCCCAAAATCAATATCCACTAATATTCAGCGGCTCGTCTCCAAACGTCAACTCTCTCAGGTCCAGTAAAGTCTCTTCCCTTCACCCTCTCCGTCTCTCTCCCTCGTTGTATGTTCGTTCTGTTTGGTTTTCTGAGAAAGTGCAGGATAAGAAAAAAGGAAATAAAGTTGGAAGC